GAGCGGGTCTGTGCAGGACGGGGTAAAAATGAAAAAAAATGTTATGCAAGGTGGGGCCGGGCAGATTTAATTTTTACGAATTAAGCTCGACCCGCCTCGCCCCGCACCGCCATTGCCATCCCTACTCTTTTTTCACTTAAATATTTTTACGTAAACAAGAAAAACTACTATTTAATAATTCATTTGGTCCATCCATTAAATTTGACATTTTTATTGAATACACAATTAATGATTAGCATCATAATTCATAACTTAATCACCGACAAAGGTTAAATTACTAATGTCCTTAAAAGATTCCATTAGTTAAGCTAAATTAATATTGTTAATCCTCCTAAAAGATATGGATGTATAAACAAGTACAAATCTTAGAATTATTACCGACAATTCTATTTTTTTTTTTAAAGTGTATTATAATTATCGTGGTGGTTTCTTATAATTTTTGTTACTACATGAGTTGTGTGGGAAGCGCCACCCTTCAATGGGCCCCGACCTGCAATATGCAATTCAGATTTAATTAGGGCTTCAATACAAAATACAAACACCAAATGAAAAAAATATTTTGATTATTTGCATAATTAATTGAGGAAGAGATGAAATCAGTTGGAGAATAATGGTTGAGAGGTGCTCACAATTTTCTTAGACCTAAAGGTGGGTTTGATTCGTGCATTTTGCACCAACATCACAAATTTAATCATCTTTAAATTTGGTTTTAGGTTTATAATTAAATCTTTGGTCACGAACGATTTTTTAAGTTATGGTCGAAAATTCATCATTAATTATGCACTTTATGTGACAAAAAATATTTTCGTAATCAGATGAATGCATCAAGCATGAGTCACATATTTAACAAATATGTGTTATCTCCTGTATTCGGGTTAGTCAAAAATACAGAAACAGAAAAAAGAAAAAAGATGAAATAGACAGAACGTTGTGTCTTTTGGGAAAAGTAACGACTTTTCGGAAGAAACAGGTCCCTTCAGAACGTTTTTACTGTTACACGTGTATTTCAAATAAATTCCGTTGCACCAAATTAATTTTGTTATTTAACAAACATTCTGAATTAATTTATAAGAGAAAAGAAATGAATTAAGAAGATTGATTAAATAAATTTTGTCTAAAAATATTATCAGTTAATCACTTGCCAAATCCAAATCCAAAGCTGAGGCTGAGCGAGCGACGACGACGGCGCGAGGGGGCACCTTCTTCTTAACCCTTTAAGAACTAAAGGAAGTGTTTCCTAATATAAGGACAACACTTTCCTTTCTTCTACCAATATGGTAAAAATGACTTTTCATTTGCACTTTGCAATGACTTTTCATTTTCCCTCCAAAATTGGTTCCCTCACTTCCATTTTCTCTTCTTATTTCCCATTCACACCTTGCTAAACCCAACAATCCCCCACATGAATAGGGAATGGCTATAGTTAAAACATATGCTTGAAAAACTTGCATGTCTCGTAAGTAAGGGTTAATCGCATCTGGATAAGTAGGTTTCCCTTTAAACTTTCCGTAGTGAACATCTATCGAATATACTCGGTTAATCGGTAGATTTGATATCTTTGAACCGTCGAGCTTTGGTGTATACCAAAACAACATAAGTCACACAATCAACCCTTGAACTGTTTTTGGTTCTCATTGTTTTGTTCGTTTCAGCCATGAACACATCTCGGTTAATAAGTGCTTAGAGAACTGGCCTTACTGGATTCTCCTTGAAGCGGCTTACACTTCACACTTACATAGGTGGTTTCTAAATGTGTTATCCCGTAGATACATTATTTGATATACCCTGTATCAAACTTAGAAACCATTAAAAAGTCCTTATGCCTTTATCCTGGTTACTGAACATTGTCTCATCATGAGAATGGACATAAAATAATTTTAGTACAATGTCGAACCGTCATCTATGACTTTGTTTTATCTCCTTGAACCTAGATCTTGGGATCTCCAGTCTTCTAGGTAGAGTTACCGCCACGATGACGTGTTCTCGGCCATAGTCCCATTCCCGTCGATGATCTCTTAACTCCCTCTCTAGTTAGGCCTTTTGTAAGTGGATCCGACACATTATCCTTTGACTTTACATAGTCAATTGTGATAATTCCACTAGAGAGTAGTTGTCTAATAGAGTTATGTCTTCGTCTTATGTGACGAGACTTCCCGTTATTCATAACGCTTCCAGCCCTTCCTATTGCAGCTTGACTACCGCAGTGTATGCATATAGGGGTCATTGGTTTGGGCCAAAACGGAATATCTTCTAAGAAATTCCGGAGCCATTCAGCTTCTTCACCTGCCTTGTCTAAGGCGATGAATTCAGAATCCATTGTAGAGCGAGCTATACATGTTTTTTTGGATGATTTCCAAGATATTGCTCCTCCACTAATAGTGAAAATATATCCACTCATGGATTTCGTTTCAGTTGACCCAGTAATCCAATTTGCATCACTATATCCTTCAAGAACTGCTGGATATTTGTTGTAATGCAAATCATAGTTTTGAGTGTCTTCTAAGTACCCCAAAACTCTCTTCATTTCCAACCAATGATTTTGATTGGGATTACTTGTGTATCGACTCAGTTTACTTATAGTGTAGGCTATGTATGGTCGTGTACAATTCATGACATACATCAAACTTCCCAATACTCTGGCATAATCCAATTGAGACTAACTTTCACCTTTATTCTTGGCAAGATTAAGGTTCACATCAATTGAGGTCTTTGCCTTTTTGAAATTCAAATATTTGAACTTTTCAAGTACCTTTTGAGTATAATGAGATTGAGACAATGCTAGACCGTTAGGAGTTTGGTGAATCTTTATTCCCAATATCAAATCGGCTACTCCTAGATCTTTCATATCAAACTTACTAGCAAGCATACGCTTAGTAGCTTTTACATTGGCAATGTCCTTGCTCATTATCCACATGTCATTCACATATAGGCATACAATGACTTCCTGATCCGGAGTGTCTTTAATGTAAACACATTTATCACACTCATTGATCTTAAATCCATTTGACAACATGGTTTGATCAAACTTTGCATGTCATTGTTTTGGTGCTAGTTTTAGTCCATAAAGTGACTTAACAAGTTTGCATACTTTCTTTTCTTTACCGGGAACTACGAATCCCTCAGGTTGTTCCATGTAAATATTTTCCTCCAGCTCTCCATTTAAGAAGACAATTTTCACATCCATTTGATGAATTTCAAGACCGTATACTGCATCTAGGGCAATTAACATCCTCATTGATGTAATCCTAGTCACTGGCGTGTATGTGTCAAAATAATCAAGACCTTCTTTCTGTCTAAAGCCTTTGACAACAAGTCTTGCTTTATATTTGTCAATAGTTCCATCATCTTTCATCTTCTTTTTGAAGATCCATTTTGAACCCAAGGATTTGTTCCCAGGAGGAAGATCAACCAACTCCCAAGTATGATTGCTTAAGATTGATTCAATCTCACTATTGACAGCCTCCTTCCAAGAGGTTGAGTCGCTAGACAACATCGCTTCCTTGAATGTTTGAGGCTCACTTTCAAGAAGGAATGCTACAAAATCAGAGCTTCTTTGAATGTTTGAGGCTCACTTTCAAGAAGGAATGTTACAAAATCAGATCCAAATGAAGTAGCTGTCCTTTGACGTTTACTGCGCCTTGGACTCTCTTCATTGGTTTCATTCTCTTTTGGTTCTTCTCGAGGTTGTTTTGACCCTCCACTAGATGACTCAAGTCTAGTTTTATACGGATAGATATGTTCAAAAAATTCAGCATTATCTGATTCCATTACCGTATTATCATGAATATTCGGATGTTCACACTTATGAACCAAAAATCTACATGCCTTACTATTTGTGGCATATCCAATGAATACACAATCCACAGTCTTAGGCCCTATTTTCACCCTTTTAGGTACATGAACCTGGACTTTGGCTAGACACCCCCCACACTTTGAAATATTTCAAGTTGAATTTTCTACCTTTCCATTTCTCATATGGAGTAACATGTATCTTCGTGTGAGGCACTCTGTTGAGTATTCGATTTGCTGTAAGGATAGATTCCCCCCCCCCCCACCAAGTTTTGTGGTAAACCTGAACTTATAAGTAAGGCATTCATCATTTCCTTTAAAGTTCGGTTTTTCCTTTCCGCAATTCCATTAGATTGAGGAGAGTAAGGAACAATAGGTTGATGGATAATTCCATTTTCCAAACATATTTCTGCAAATGGAGATTCATATTCTCGACCTATATCACTTCTGATCATTTTGATCTTTCTATCCAACTGATTTTCAACTTCAGTTTTATATTGCCTAAATGCATCTATTGCTTCATCCTTACCATTTAAGAAATAGACATAACAATATCTAGTGCAATCGTCAATAAAAGTTATGAAATACTTTTTCTCACCACGTGTTGGTGTTGACTTCATGTCACAAATGTCAGTGTGAATCAGTTCTAAGGGATATAAATTCCTTTCAACAGACTTATAAGGATGCTTAGCATACTTAGATTCAACGCAAACTTGACATTTTGATTTATTGCACTTAAATTTAGGCAAAACATTTAAGTTAATTAGTTTTCACAAGGTTTTGTTATTAACGTGTTCCAAACGTTCATGCCATAAACATTTAGACTCAAGCAAGTAAGAAGAAGCAAAATCTTTATTCATATCAACTGCAGTTACATTGAGTTTAAAGAGGCCCTCAGTGAGATAACCTTTTCATACATACATCTCATTCTTACTCAATACAACTTTATCAGAAACAAATGCACATTTGAATCCGTTCTTAGTCAGAACTGGTATAGAAACTAAGTTCTTGCGCAATTTCGAAACGTACGAGACCCTGTTCAAAGTCACCACCTTGCCTGATGTCATCTTTAAGAGGACCTTGAATGTTCCTTCCACCTTTGCAACAACGGAGTTTGCCATAAACAACTTCTCGTCTGCTGGTGCTGGAGTATATGATGCAAATAATTCTTTGTTGGCACAAACATGACATGAGGCGACAGAATCTATCCACTATTTTCTTGGATTTCCAACCAAGTTGCATTCTGAAAGCATTGCACAGAGATCGTCCATCTCTCCTTTGGATTCAACCAAATTTGCTTGATTCTTCTTCTTGTCCTTCTTGGGACCCCGACATTCAGTAACTTTATGACCACGTTTGCCACAATTGAAGTAGCTTCCATTGAATTTCTTCTTTGGAGGATTGCTCTTTGGACCAGATGTTTTTTTTCTTTTCTTTGATTTTGTGGGATCTTTTTCAACAATATTTACTCCAGATATAGCTGAATTACCACGTGACCTCTTTTCTGCGACCTTATTATCCTCTTCGACTCTCATCCTTACCATGAGATTTTCAACAGTCATCTCTTTGCGTTTATGTTTCAAGTAGTTTTTGAAGTCCTTCCACAATGGAGGTAACTTCTCAATAATTGCAGCCACTTGAAAAACTCATTCACAACCAATCCTACATTAAAGATTATGTGAGTATTAAGAATAGACTTAATATTTCCAACATAGGTATTAGCTAAATTTATACCTTTAGCAAGGAGATCATGGATTATGACCTGCAATTCTTGAACTTGGGTGACGACGGTCTTACTGTCTATCATCTTATAGTCCAGAAACTTTACCACAATGAACTTCTTCATTCCGGCATCCTCTGTTTTGTACTTCTTTTCTAAAGTATCCCAGAGTTCTTTTGAGGTTTTGACATTACTGTAAACATTGTACAGATCATCTTGCAGGCCACTCAAAATATAATTTTTACACAAAAAATCTGAATGTGTCCATGCTTCTGTTTCCAAGAATCGTTCTTCAAGCGGAGTTTCATCCGACAAAACAGGAACGTTCTCATTAATGAACCTCTGCAGACTCAACGTAATCAAATAGAAGAACATCTTCTGCTGCCATCTCTTGAAGTCGACTCCAGAAAACTTTGCAGGTTTCTCAGCCGATGCTAGGGCAGCAGTTGAACGATTGTGTGCAACCGATGTTGTTGCAACATTTACTTGACTTGAATTAGTCATTTTTCTGTCACAAATGGCAGACCATTTTAGTATGTGAAATACTAACAGTAAAGAATAAATCCTTACACAGACTGTTTCTAATTTAACGATAAAGTTTTTATGTTATTTTAATCGTTAATCGAATGCATTTTAAAAATTCAAAGAGAGTAGAAAACCATAATGGTTTTAATCTCCAGAAACCTCAAATACAGAAACTATTTAATTTCTTATGATTGTTATCTCATGTATTCAAGTTAGTCAAAAATACAGAAACAGAAAAAAGAAAAAAAATGAAATAGACAGAATGCTTTTAATTCGAGTCCACAGAAATCACTGTGTTTCCTTAAGAAATTTAATCCCCTCACTGTACCCGAGGTTGCAGATTAATTTCTCCCATGATAAAACAGATTAACCTGTTAGAGAAGTAGCGGTACCTCAAACTTCAATAACTTCAGCGAACGCAAGAACAACAACAAGAGCACACGCAGACTCAGTCGATCAACAATTTTGTTTATGTAAGAAAATGAATGCAGAGAGGAAAAAAAATTCAGTGTCTGAAAAACGGAAAAAGACCTCTTATTTATAGCCATTTACAGCAAGGAACGCGTCTGTTCAGACCCGTTTTTTCCAGAACGTTGTGTCTTTTGGAAAAAATTACGACTTTTCAGAAGGAAAAAATGAATTAACAAGATTGATTAAATAAATTTTGTCCAAAAATATTATCAATCAATCCGAAGCCGAGGCCGAGTGAGCGACAACGACGGTGCGAGGGGCACCTTCTTCTTAACCCTTTAAGAACTAAAGGAAGTGTTTCCTAATATAAGGACAACAATTTCCTTTCTTCTACCAATATGGTAAAAATGACTTTTCATTTGAACTTTGCAATGACTTTTCATTTTTCTTCCAAAATTGGTTCCCCCACTTTCCATTATCTCTTCTTATTTCCCATTCACACCTTGCTAAATCCAACAATATGTTGTTTATAAAGCTTTCCCATAAAAAAAATGAATTGACGCAATTATCAAATAATTTTAGTCACTAATTTCATTAAAAATGTTTAGTCTACAAAATAAAGTTCATTAAAAATGTTTAGTCTACATAGTTTTCTCATACACCATAAAAATTAATTGGTGCCAATTATAAGGTAATTTTAGCCACGAAATTGAGGATAATAATTTTTCTCGCTACTTTTTTTGAAAATTTATGACAAATCATTATTTATCTTTAAATTCGTGTAAGTTGTGGATACAAAAAGGTTTCGTCACAAAAATTTATGACAAATCATTATTTATGACTAGAGGTCTCGTGTAAGTTGTGATCTTTTCTCTTCTCCTTGTCTGAGGCTTCTTATGGAGGTTTGTGAGGTAGCTGCTTGTCATTTCAGCGGACCTTCTTACTCCTATTTATGATCTTGTTTTATTCTAGAAACAATGTCATTTGATACTAGTGTTTTTCTTTTGAATCAATTGTAATACTTTAGAGGCTTGCACACGTGACAACCAGATTTTGCGGTATTTTTGAGTTGATTATAAAAAAAAATTGCATTTTATTGTAATGGTTGAGTTTTAGGCTGACTTGTCTTGGTGGGATAAGACGAGTGCCATCACATCCATTTTTGGGTCATGACAATTACTAGTTGATCAAACTGATTTATAAAAATAAAAAGAAAAGTTTATTTATGTATTTGTAAATATCAAAGTGTTTATAAGCTAAGTTGCTTATTTATGCCAATTTAGTTATATACGATAAATTAATCATTCCTAACTTATGACTTTTTTAGCTTATCAACATTTTTATTTGACCAGTTTTTAATTAATTTATCAAACTATCAAATTACTCAGCTAACTCTATTACTCTAGGAAATCAAACAATCTTTTCTCCACTAAGATACTATTATATTTTAAAATATTTTATATTATACAAATAATAATATTTTTTGTAATTTTTTAAATATATAAATTTTATTTTAAAGATATTAAAATGTAGTAACCAAATTAAAAAAATATAGCGTTGACCGTTCTGCTCCAATTTCCATTAATTAATATTGTCACTATTTGTTATAATCACCAAACACTAGACTGAATAATATTGACTTAATCTTAGAATTTTACTAAATATAGTATATGAAGATGATCATGACTACTTTAGGAATAATTTATTTACTGATTGATTGCTATATGCTACGTACGTATACTTTGCCATTGTCAATTTTGAAATGTTGACATCGTGGGAGTAACTTTTCTTTTATTGTATTGTTGCCTATTTGTATTGTATCATATTATGACTTTAGATATAATATTTATGTTGATTGTTACTTTTTCTTTCTTAAAAAATAATTTGTGTGTAGAGGTATGGGAAATGAAGGATGGGATTGGGGATTCAAATCCTCACTAACAAGGTGAAAGTTCAGGTTATCAACCAACTGGTATTAAGATTCATCTGTAAATTGTTAGTGAGATTCTATGGTATCTTATCGTTAAATTTGTCATCAATTTTATCTGTATAATGATTGATTTAGTGTAATCGATGACCCTCGCCTAATGAATCGATATAAAGATGACGAAATAAGAAAAAAAAAAAGGACTAATTAAGATCGAAGAGAGTAACATAAAACTGTAATATAGTAGTAATAAATTATTTTATTCATCTCATAATTAATCTCTGCATTTTGCAATGAGATTGAAACTGAGCAAACATACAGAAATACATAAAATTAGTAAAATATAAAAATAGAGTTTCTCTGCATTTTGCAAGGAGATTGAAACTGAGCAAACATACAGAAATACAGAAAAGTAAAATATAAAAATAGAGTACAAAAACAATATCACTAACTTAGATAACATGAAGCTACAAAAGAACTTCGCCTTCTGTGGGGCTTATTGTTTACTATAATTTAATTTTCTTCTTTTATCATTGCCTATCTAAAATGGAAAATGCATTCCTTTCAGCTCAACATTTACTTTTCCTGCATAAGAATATAATATTGTGAATGAGAACATATAGTAGAAGCTAACCAAATAAGAAGTAGACAACATGAGTTTTTATATTGATGTTTTGCATGAAGAAATTGTGCAACTTATTATTGCATTGCATTTTAGTCATATGTTTTTGAAAGTTTAAGTTTATATTAATTACCTCATAGATAATGAAGTCACTTCTTAGTAATGGTGGGGAGGAGGGGGAGATGAGTAAATATAGTGGGGTGGTGGAGACGGAGACTTGTAAATGGGAGTTGGGGGTGGTGAAGACTTGTACACTGGTGCAGGATGGTATGGCTTCACTGGTGGTGGTGGTGATTTGTAAACGGGAGTTGGGGATGGTGGAGACTTGTATACTGGTGTAGGATGGTATGGCTTCACTGGTGGTGGTGGTGATTTGTAAACGGGAGTTGGGGATGGTGGAGACTTGTATACTGGTGTAGGATGGTATGGCTTCACTGGTGGTGGGGGATCGGAGACTTGTATACTGGTGCAGGATGGTATGGCTTCACTGGTGGTGGGGGATCGGAGACTTGTATACTGGTGCAGGATGGTATGGCTTCACTGGTGGTGGGGGATCGGAGACTTGAAACAGGTGTTGGTGGTGGTGGTGACTTGTAAACTGGTGTTGGAGGTGGTGGTGACTTATAAACTGGTGTAGGATGGTATGGCTTTACCGGTGGTGATGGTGACTTGTAAACTGGAGTGTGTGGAGGGTAGTATGGCTCCTTAGGTGGTGGTGGTGACTTGTAAACTGGAGTTGGCGGTGGGGGTGATTTGTAAACTGGTGCGGGATGATAAGGTGTTGGTGATTTGTAAACTGGAGTTTTCTCTACCTAACAAACTAAATACGTGCCACTTTTTTCAATAGTTAAGCACTTAAATGTTTATAATAAAAGAAGAAGAGAAGAAGCCGTCCCGTTTTAGTTGTTGTGTTACGCTTTTCGAAAGTCAATTTAATTAATTTTTAAAGTTAAATTAAATTACATTAATTTGATATTTTAAACTAAAAATTTAGATATTCAAAAACTATACGAAAAATACTATAAATTGTAATTTTTGCATATCAATATGATGAAAAAATACACCGTAAAATGTTAGTCAAAATTCTTATTGGTTGACTCTAAAAAAGAAAATCATGACAATTAAAAGGAGACGGAGAAAGTATTCAAATACATGGACGATTCTTAGTTCATCCATTAATGACTTTGACTTTTTAATTAGAAAAATAATTAATCATTTGTATAACTTGATCACCGACAAAGGTAAAATTACTAAACTCCATATAAGATTCCATTAGTTAAGCTAAACTAATATTTTTAATCGTCCCAAGAGATATGGATGTAAGTATAAACAAGTACAAACCTTAGCTACATTGACCTAGTCAATTATTATTACCGACATATATTTATTATAGACAAATATTTGTCCAACGATCGAGATCTTATGTTCTATTTTGTTTCTTCATTTTTTTTGTTCAAATTTTTTTTGTTTATAATAAAGTTGGAATAATATTAAGTTACAAATTTTATGATTTAAATGGGCTTTCTTAACTAGAGTTTACCTATTTACGCAACATAGCTATTGTTTAAATAGCTAAAAGAAATCTCATTTGTATATTTTGATTTTTTTAATTAATTATATAAAGTGTTGTTAAAATTTAGTTAACTAAATATCTTGATTTTTTTTATATAATTATGGAAAATGATCCCTTAATTAAAGGTTATTGAATCTAATTAGAATATCTTACCAAATAAGTCTTCTTCTTCAAGTAAAATTTCTCAACAAAATTAAAATTCAAAATTCAAAATTCCAAAATTCAAAATTCAAAATTCAAAAGTTTCAGATTCTCCCTCCTACTCGTGTATATCCAAATCAATTTCAATTTCAAATTGAACGTCTTGTATTTTACTATATCAATTTGAATTGTATGGTTATGAATTAATAACAAAATATTGATTTTAAGCGTATTAACATTGTATATGAAGTAGTTGATTGATTTGTATAGTTCGATTATGAGTATTTCAGGATTATGATGAAAATGTATAGTGGTTTGTGTGTAGTAATTGTATATGTATAGAATTAGTATAGGTCTGCAGATTAGATTTGTTTTTTACGTTTATGTATTTGTATATGTTTCTAAACGTATTGTATAGTATATAGTTTGTATACAATTTGTTGTATATTTTAAGACAACAAATATGTATATTTGAATAATATTCGTATTGACTTATACCAATATGTATATTTGAATAATATTTGTATTTGACTTATATCAATATGTATATGTCAGGAATTGAATTGTATGTTAGATAATTTCTCTATTTAATTTTGTATAATTGTTGGCTTATACATTTGTGTCTTGATATTATGTAATATGTACAACTAAGGCATATAATACATACAATTACATGCTTATATACAAACAACCTATTGAACGTAAATATGCATATACAAATAACGTAAAAAGAAAAAATAAAAATACCCCATCATCCTCTCGTTTGTTATATATTATGTAGCATATACAATTAACCAAAAGTACAACTAATTTATTATCTCATATACAACTTAAATCATACATATACAAATTGAGAATAACTAAAACAAGGTTATATCTTTGCTTCTAGAAGATGTTTCTTGTACTCTTTTTTTCCAAGAATCATCAAGTCAAACTCATTAACTCTTTTTTCCTCTCCTTTTTTTTTTTTTTCTTTGGAGCTTTTAACACAGATTTATTGCATCCTAATGAGGTTATTGCAAAACTTAAATTTAGTCTCCTTCTCTCCTATATTTGAATCAATAGCTTTAGATTTGACAATGGAACCTGCAATTCCTTTAGTGAGTGGATTAGAGAGAGGTTATGAATAGATTTGTATAAAAGGGATAATGAGATTCTACACGATCCCATACAAATAGATGACCCCACATAACCATTTTCTTAAACAATACCCATTTTCTATAATTAACTAAAACTCTAGTCATTTAGTATAATTAACTACTAAATGTTAACTTAGTTATATAATTTTCCCTAATTAAATTTAGGTTAGTCCGTTAAACTTACAAGCCTAGCCCAGCGCAACTCATGTTTCTCAAGCCCAAAGTCAACTAGAATGGCAAGGAGATCAAATATCTCAAACCCTAGTTGATGCCTATATAAAAGAGTATTCAATAGTGATTTGACAGTCTTCTGCATACAAAAGAGTATTTGCCTCCAAGTGGTGAGTCATTTTATACCTCCTCGAATGTGATAAAAAAGTATTCCATCAATTCAGGTACAAAGCAAAACTTTTGAGTTGACAGTCATGGAGAGAAAAAAAAAACAAAAATTACACATTTTAGTATAAAATTTTCTAAATATTGTTAAATCCTGCACAAATAAATAAAATTAAATATTATTATTTATTGATATTTTTCTTTTCTTTATTATTTTTCTAAAACGAAAATTTAATCGTTATAATATGCCTTGAATAACCACAATCAGATACCAAATCAGTTGGTTGTTCATTCTTTTTTTTTTTTTAAATAAAAAGGTGAAAGGTGTAACAATTAAATTTTCATCCCTGAAAACTAATAATCTATTTACATATAATAGGAGAGGAAAAAGTGCCACATGACAGCACCACAAAAAATACATTTTTTAAATTAATTAAATGGAAATCTATCTATATATAATAGGAGAGGGAAAAGTGTCACATGTCAGCACCACAAAAAACACATTTTTAAAATTAATTAAAATTAAATAAATGGAAATAGTTTTAAAACAATTTTAAAAATTATGGTGATGACTGATGTAACTGTAAAATTGTTTATAATTAATACACATAATTCTATAATATTAAAAACAGATTGGTAAGAAAATTAACTAAAAACAATGGATCTTCATATGGAAAATGAGATTGTTTTGTTCCTTTTAAAAAAATTAAAATATTATCTCGATCACATGCCTTAGAAAATAATATAAAGAAAAATCTCTCAGTCATAAAAATTTTAAAAATAAAAATAAAATAAAAAACAGAACCACGTTCTTTCTTTCTTTATAAATAAAAGAAAGCTTTAGCCATGACAAAATACTAAATAATTAATTTAAAATTTAAATTTCAAATAATAACTAACCTTATCCCTAAAAACAGTTAAACTTCATAAGTCATATTTGTGAAAAAATATTACTCTTAACTACATTATCATCCACATCTTTTTAAACCAACTCTTCAAAATATATATTCAAAAATGTGTAACAACAATCACATTAAAAAAAATAAAAATTGAATGCACTTGAGATCATAAAAGAAAATTGACTGGAAGTATAGTAGTGTATTGTATGTATGTATGCCTTCTTCCTTAATTATTTTATGTGAAATTATTTGATTATGGTTGAGGGGGAAGGATTGCCATCATCTCCAGTACAACGAGGAAGAAGAAGAAACTAATGATAAAGAAATGAAGGAATTCTGAAGAATTTTACAATAGTGGACCATGTATGCCGTCTTTTAATATTTTTGGTACATAAATTACTGCTATGATAATTGTATCGTCGATTTAATACTTTGCATGACATCTAATATTTTCTTTTGTGATAATTTAGCCTTTTCTGTTCATTTTTATGTTAAATTAAAATGGTCTCTTTTTAAGTGATTTATTAGATTATTAGATGAATATACATACTAAACTCAATTACCATTTAAATTTGATTGGCGTTCCTTATTTATGTTGATTTAATATTCTTTTAACGATTCACTACGTGTTTAATTTTTAAAGAATAAAATTAATATAAATAATGATGATGATGATGAAGAATAAAATCAATATGAATATTGACGGAGAAGATGAAAGACTTGGGATGTTTTGCAAATGAAGATGCCGTCATACCTTAAGGTAATTATTGATATAAATTTTTACTTTTTTTATTTTTATTTTATTTCTTTAAAGAAAAAATTGCACTTTCCTCATTCTCCATTCTTCGTTGATGATAAAAGTTATGCTAAAAAGTCATTAAATTTTAATTAGAAAAGCTATAATATACTACAGTCACTCTCTAATTTGGATGAGATTATATTTCATATAGTAATTGAAATTACATTTGTTAAATTTAAATAATGAAAGAATTTTGATTAATAAAATAAAAGTATAATAAGAATTTCGTATAAGTTTGAAAGAAAGAAGTTATATATTTATTTACATAATATTAGAAGATGAGTAATAGAGAAGGACAATGAATTATTTTAAAAAAAACACATGACAAATGGTTAGCACAATAACAATAGATATGAATAAGAAAATGAAAAACATATAAATACATATCTCAATGTAAACGTATAAACATTTAAATTTGAGATGAGAAAGTATTTTGAAATATAAAAAAATCATACTATATGAATAAGCTCATGTACTTGAAAGCGTACTATATAACAATTTAAATTTGAGATGAGAAAGTATTTTGAAATTAAAAAAAATCATACTATATGGATATTTT